TTAAGTATATAATTACCCTGAATCCTATCAGGGTTAATATAGTTGAAATAATTTTCTGAAAAACAAAAAATATATGTACATTACATAGCATGAATGAGCATCCATAAACACCCTACTCCAAGGTCTGATTTACAGCAATACAAAAGTGAGAGTGCACACAGTGAGGTACCCCAGACAGGGCGGCAGAAACAGCCAGCAGGAGAGAGGACAGGGTATAACCAGTAAGTGAATTATAAAGGTCAGGTGGACAAGGGAATGAAAACAATAAGTCCTTCCAGTGTGGAAACCAGAGTGAAGCCGATGTGTACATGGTCACACCATGGTTTCCGGCAGGTAACTGATGCTATCCCAGGCCCTTCACGGTGACGCAGAGCCCAGCCAGCTCAACAGAGGTGAAAAATACAGAAATATGTTCCTTCTTTATCTTTGCTCCTTGTCTGATTTTCTCCTGGGAGAGTGCTCCTTGGTTATTTCACAGTTTTTTTGTCCAGTTTGGCCTTTGTGATCTGCAGTTTCAGGCCTCCTGTGACTGCTTGCTTTTCTGTGCATGCACACAGACACACACAGCCAAAGGTCTGAGCCTGAAGGTGAAGTTAACCAGGTTTCTTTTTGGCTGATTTGCTGATCTTTAAAGCACTTACTGAAGGGCCTCTGCTCCTTAGATGCACGAAGGTGTATAGTTAACCTTAATGTTGCTGAAGTCATCATTTACACGGATACAACGCTTGCAAAGTTCACATTGTAACAAAAGTCTCTATAAACACCGCCTCCAAGATATGCCTTGTGTTTATGCTGAGAAGGTTTGAAGACAAAAACCCTGAAGAGCTTACATGTAGTTTTAACAGTGCTAAGTTGAGGTAATTGTTATGCAATATTCCTGGTTCATGAAATTCAGTTTCCAGTAGCTTGATGTTGCATTTGTGATGGAGAGCAAGTTGCCATCCACAGCCACATGAAAGTCTTACCAGCAAACACTGTCTGACATTCTCTATTAAGACAGGATGCAGTGGTCCTAATTTTTCCCAAACTGACTTAATTTTAAAAAGAAAAAGCTCTCAGAATGGCCACCAGCAGCATAACATCTGGGGTTTTTTTTGTTTTCCCACAGAGGTGGGTTTTTTTGTCCCAGTCCTTCTTGAATAGATGATAGTGTAACACCTAGCACCCCGCTACGTGTGGGATGCTACCCACCTCCGCTCCCCTCATGTGAAGAATCGACACTGTGTAGAGTCAATGTAACAGTAAGAAGTGCATCGCAATTTTCCATAAGACCTAAAAGAAAAGAGAATATCTCAGTTTCAAAGTACGCTAGAGTTCACACTATATGGTTTCTAGATGTAACTCTGTAGGAGTGAAGAACATAAGAAAATGCTATGTGCAAAAACATACGGGAACCAAAATAAAAGGATAATTTCCATCAGTGCTCCACTGTGCTCCCCCTTGTCAGCAACATAAGAGTCCAAGAGAAACTATGAGTGAAGATTTAATTCCCAGTAATGTCAATTAAAAAAAAATAAAATCCCCCTTGGCAGTGGGACTTGAGCATCATGTTGGGGCTGGTGCAGGAGGCCTTGGCGCTCACCCACAGGAACTGTGTAATGAAATATCTGAGGCTCTGAGTTAAGTGTTTTTCCAGTTACTTCCAATAGGTCCAGCAGGCGTGACTGTGCCTGTCCTTTAATTTACTCTTCATGTACTTGAAATAGTGATAGTGACACACACCCACCTTTGAAATTTAAAAAAAAAAAGAAAAAGTAAATGGAAGGGTCCTTGCAAAATAAGGAAAAACAGTGATTTTTGTCTTTCTACTGACTTAAACTGAGCTGCAGTGACTCTACCTACTGAAGGCCTGACCAGATATGTTAATAAAGTAAGCATTTTGATGAGTTTTTATTGCTAGTGGATGTCTAAATAAATAACCCATTCATCAGAAAATCCACAAGCTGTGGATTAAGCAGCCATTAAGCAGGTCCTTAAAACTATGTCCTTGGATAACCCACATTCTCACAAAACCAATATAAAATCTGAAGCGAAGGTGAAAAATCCCATGGGAGTGCCAAACTCACATACTGATTCCATTGTATTGATGAGTCACAGCTTTTTCTTTAGTTTAGCAGATGATCTGCAGACTGCACACACAAAAATAAAGGATCTCAGTTGCTCTTCACAACTTGATTATACACGGAAAATGAAATTTATAAAAAATTCTCAAGCTTTTGTAGTGCTATTTTTGGCACCAAACTTCATACTCTTAGAAGGGAATAGTTTTCACAGTAGAAAACAGATCCGCATTGTCTGAAGATGAGATATCTGCAAAATGTTTCAGGTTGTCAAGTCTGCTGGTCTCCATTTCAGTAATCTCTTACACCAGGAGTGCTCCAACAATTGCAGTGGAAGGATTAGCACAGGACTTCACTTACAAAGACATCCTGTGGTTTCTTATTCCTGTCAATTAGCACATTATTCTTCCATGAGTGATGAGGGCTCTGTGCATAATTTCATTTGCAAATTAAATGTTTCCTGTTAGCCAGTAACAATACCTGACAGTTAAATAGAGCTGCTGCTGTTGGATGCAAAATGCTGAGCAGAGGAAGCTGCTTAAACAAAGGCAGAGAAGGCAAGTCAACAATAAGCAGATGTTTAAATGAAGGACATTGCTAAGCAGATGCGTGGCTTTGCATCTGCTGCTGAGTGAATTTCCTGGTCTTTGGAAAGGCTGATAGATGACTGGTTGATCCAGAAACAAAGATATCCCAAGAGTACCCATTGACGGTAAAGGCAACAGGAGGTTGGTTGGAGATTGTGGTTCAGTTTGGGTTTGTTGGTTTTTTTTTTTCCTTCAGTGTGATCATCATCTTCTCATGGTCTTTCCTACTCTTGGTATGTTATGGGTGAACATTAAAGCAATGGTAATGTCACCAAATGAGAAAATCTTTGCAAGCAAGGGGCAAACATATGGCTATATGACCTTCATTATTTTTGTACAGGAAAGAGGCGTCTTAGAGATAAGATAACTCTTAAAGCCAATGACGTGCACAAATAATCTGATAGACTATTTCTCCCCAACTACCAGTAGAACAATGTTTAAGTGGGTAATACTTTTCTGTTTTAAAGATTGTAAAGAAAAAAAGAAAGAAAGAAAAAAACCACAAAAAAACCTGAGCCAAAGTGAACACAGCTTATACATACCCAGGGAGATATGTTTTACATGTCAAATATCCAAAATCCTTCCCATCACAGTCTTCTACTCCCTCGTGCCTGTAGCCATCTCCACAGTAAGCACGGCGGCATCCTAGTGAAGAATACAGAAAGAAATACCTTCAAGGCACTTCACATGTAAAGGAGACAGGTGACGTAAGTGGAACTAGATTTTTAAGGGTAAAGTATAAAACATGGCATTTTGGGGAGGGCGTCCTGTAAGGACTGTCTTAGGAGGAGCAATATTCTTCACTACAAAGAAGTAGTCTTTTTTTTAGCCCAATTTCAATGACCAAGGGAAATGATGGATAACTACTGAAAATAATTACTACAGGAATACTAATTACAACAGCATGTATTCTAATACTTATTATTACCATAGATACCATAGATAATTACTCTCAAAACAAATTAAAAGAAGCATAAAATACAGTTAACACAGATGATTTGGGGAGGTCACATTTTCAAAAAAATACTTTGAGGTCATTAAGTGGTTTGAAAATCCCAACCTAGACCTTTACCCAATATTGTACAGTATCTATGTGTGTCTACTGCAAGTGAGTTCCCACAGAAGAACAGAATTATGCAGACCTATTTCCTGTTCATCAAACAAAAAAAGTATGTAATGATTGCCAAAAAGGTGTTTTTCACACTGACTTAAGTGTGAGTGGGCCTTGTGACATTTTTTCATGGTGACTGGCATGTAGGCTAATATGTGGGTTTGTTTGCTATTTCAGCAACTGAACTTTGCTTTTGATGTCTTCAACATTTTGAGTATGAATTTATAATTTGGCTAACATCCCTTTGGCATTTTCTCAGAGACACTGTTAGGCAATGGATTAAAAGGACACTCAAGAATAGGGAGTTTATAGGAGTTAAAGCAGGTTATTTACAAATATAAATGATTCATTAATTGCACCAAGTGTCTATTAGAATGATGCTTCTAAGAACAACAAGACTAGTTTACAATCAAATACACTTAACATTTGGCTAACTTCTTTCTTTTGGTTCAGTCACAAGAGCAGAACAATGACAATGTGCTCATTTCCAATTAACTCGATGGTAACTCTTTGAGTCGCGTCAGTGTCAGAAGTTTATGTATTGCAAGGCCTTGACTGACCTGGAGCTTTGCCCAGTGTATAGCACACAGTAATATGATGTGTGTTTTGCTGTTACCAGAACTAATGAACACTATTTTCCTGCATGCTTGTTCCCCAGGGTTGACTGGAAATTCTAACTGAATCATTTTCTCATGCTCACTCTATCTCACTGGATTACTCTGCAGTCAGGCAAGCTTAGAGGGTGAATTCATTTATATGTCTCCCTACACCTGTTGCAACTGAAATGCCTTTGGAATCTCTTTCCTGTTGTCAATGAGAAGTTAACTGGGATTCCTAAGTTATAAGGGGAAAGATGGCGATAGATAGGTGGATGGACAAACTCACACAGAGTGTGGCTGCTTACACTTCATTTCCTTAGAAAGACAGGCTAAAAAATGGAGGGCTATATAAACGAAAAAGGAAAATGACATCTTTCAGTGTTGGCTGACACTTGTTCTGAAATGTGAAGAAGCATCCCTTTGCTAGAACTGACAGAGTACCAAACCTGCTGTGTGTCAGCTGTAGATGGTATAGATGAACCCTGGGCAAGGAATCAAGCGGTTAATGTAGCTGAACGGCAGAAGTAAAGGTTGCCACAGATGCCTGTATGCTCATAGGCTCTTTGCTATCCACAGCCAGCAAAACAAAAGGAAGAGTGACTAGCTAGGAATCAAATGTTGTATAAACCTAATAGTGAAGGTAGTGGGCTGATACTTTCCCTAGGCAAGTGAGTAACAAAATCCGAAGTGGTTTTACTGGACCCAGGAACTGGCTCACTGTTAGAAACAGCCAGCATCAGCGTCTGTCCTAAGGGGTTTTGTTGTGCACTGCAAAGGTATGCTACATCTTTTGGCCAGAAAGCCAGCAGCCCCTGGGGAAGGTGTGTATGTAAACCAACTGCTGGATTTGGCCCCTGAAATACAGCAGTTTTGCTCTGACTGCAGACATCTCTGCGCAGTGAGGGATGCAGTCCTCGATGACAATGCGTGCGTGAGAAGTACTTGGGGGCACCTCTGTCTTGTGCTGGTGTGTGGCATCCACATGTACAAAGGACCTCAGTTTTTGCACTATGGCCACTGTACCTCACTCTCTCAGTGGCTACACTCAAGTCACAAACCACACAAGCTCCCCTGAGTTAAACATTTGTGTGATTTACACAGTGGTGTACCCTGCGGAAACAACCAATGCACCTTCTGTGGCAGAAAGAGGCTGCTCTTGATTCTCTGTAACTTACTTATACAGTCATCAGTCACAACAGCATTGCCATCGTCGCACTCTTCCCCATCCTGTATGATCCCATCTCCACAGGTACCACCTGCCTCAACGCGGTCATCCATGGGATAGAAAGGGGTGAGCTGGTCAAAGAAACACACAGCCGTTACTGAACCGACCATGAGCAGCCTGGCTAGCAAGCAGAGGTGAAGGGCTGTGGGAGGCATCTATCGCAACCGGGTTTTCATGTCTCATTATTTGGTGGTTCACAGGGTTTATACAGAATCTGATTCCAAGTCCAGCGGACACATGAAGGATTGTGCTGCTGATTTCAGCATGACTTAGCTTACCTCCTTGAAGCAACAAGGAAATGCATGGTTTTGGTCTGCAGGGTTTGTTTTCCCGCAACTTTGTATCCTGGTGAATTTTGCCTTAATTTGTATTAAATAAAAAATGTTCTTTACTACTGTAATTCCCCAAACTCAGCCCCAGTTTGTTCACCAGTGGAGCCTGGTTTACAGGGAGGTTAGCAAAACCTGCAACACTAAATTAATGCCTCAGTAATTAAGACTCCTGTGAACAAAAAATCACAGAATTAGGTACAGTTGTGGCAGTGCTCAAAAGTGAGCTTTTTCTCCATTTGCTTCATTGATTCTGTATGACACCTTAAGTACAGAAGTATGTTCTGTATTTAAAAATGAAACATACACTCACAAATTTTCTGAGACCACATATTTTCATATTTTCACCTGGATTGGGAGCCATCCAAAGGTATCCTTGAAATACAAAGATCTCTGATCTCTTCTAAAAGCTAAGGCATTTTCAGTGTTTAACCGGTCCAATTCTTCTTGATTATTCACCACAAAAATCTGGGGCACAGAAAAAGAGGTGATTGGTAACCCTCTCAAGAAGTATTTTGAGTTGTCATAGAATCTAGTTTCGTAAACTGGCATATGTATCTGCAAATAAGTAAATAATTGCACAGAAAAATGGTTTAGTCATTTTCAGAAACAGAATGGTGTGAGAATTTACATCCAGAGACTGCCAGACCACAAAAGGCTCCTTTGAGACTGGTAAGAAGAGACACTAATTTCCAAAGGAGAGTGGTCTTTCCTGAGCCCCCAGTTATGGCTCCAGTGGCCCCTGTTTCAAAATGCACATCCACAGGTAATGATCATGCAAGTATTTGTGCATAATCAATCTCAAGAAAAAAAATCAGATGCTCAAATGGTTAGATGCTGGAACAATTGAAAAATCCATACAGGCATAAGTGCTTTTTGTGGGTTTGTCTATAATTTTTTAGGCATGCTCATGGCTACAAAATAAATAATGCATTGCTCAGTGCGACCTTCACTTACCATTTACTACTTTGTACTTTGTTTAGATTTAATTGGTATTGAAATGCATGTTTCTTTACATGCATATGCTTTAGTCTAAAGCCAAGTCTTCAATTCAACAGAAAAAAAATATTTCAAAATGGAAAAATTAGGATGAGCAGCTCTCTTACATTTTTTTTTAATGTCTCAGTCACTGAAATTGACTGTAAGGGGCATTAGGAAATAATCTCTTCCTCCAGCAGCTTAATCAAATTAATTTTAGTAAGACTCAAAACATTTTTAAATTAAGAAAAAGTAAATGGAATGCTTCTGCGCAAAATGGATTTAGGGCTGAGCCTGATTCCCACCAGCATAAACAGAATTGGCTCTTTTTAAAACAAATTACCCTGAAATTTTTACATAGCAGAATATTCCCATAGCCCCCAACAAAGGCCAATTTCATTAAAGAAGCATTGAATAAAAATGCCTTCAGCTTGAATGAAAGCAAAGAAACAGAAAGCCAGCAAAGAAATGTTTCTGTAATTGCGTTCAGGAGCTCAAGTCCCAACCCCAGAGCTCTAATTTCTCTTGAAATCAATAGCAGTTCTGCGCTCTCTGAAACATTCTGTTACAGATACTGGCCTTTGAAATGGCAAAAGATTTTAAAATGGGAATCAACCTTAGCCAGCAATAGAAAACCAGGGCTTGGTTTCCTAGCCTCTCCTGTCCTCTGGCAGCACTGGCACCAGAAGGGTTGGAGGGCAAGGGGGTGACTGCATGGGGACGTGCTGCAGTAGGGTGCTGCTTTGGCAAACCGTGCAACACAGGGTCTGGGGACACAGAACACCTGCTCGCGGTCTCTTCCATGTGCAGCTATAGCTGACCCCTGACAATAGTCTTCAAGTAGTACAAGGCAGGTTTCAAAGCTGCTACCTGGGGATCTGAACAGAATAAATAATAGCAATGTTTAAGCTCTTGCTCTTGACATTCGAGGGAGTAAAACAAATGGGGCAAGCAAAGGGGGACTGCTTCTCTGCAAGTGCTCCACTTTCAGAGCTGAGGCTTGCTTCTTTGCCATCCCGCATTTCTGAGAACAGAAATGGCACTTGGTCATCATCAAATGAGGGTTCACAGCGATAGGGTAGGGTACTTATATTTTAGGTAGTTACACTCTCATTGTCGTCTTTGAACATCTAATATGAAACCATGCCTGACGGAGAAGGAGGGTGATAAGACCTACACGGGATATTGAGAGTCTTACATCTTATCCTATGAGCTCTCCGTGCCACGAAGTACATGATAGTTTTCTGCAATAGCATGCAGCATGATGTGATATGCACCTTTTTTTCATGTACTTTCTTCTCTCACCATTAAGTTTTAAAAATAACAGGTCTTTTTTGTAATGCAACACAGACAGGGATGAGCAAGGAGCTGAGAAGACTTGCAAAAAATTCATGCAAAAGATTGAGTTAAATGACACAGTTTAATGGACAGTGTTGTGAGTATGTCCCTTTCACAAACTGTAGCAGCTTTCTGACATGTGACAGATGGGAAAGTTAGCAAAGCTAATTGGTGCTTATTGTCATTCAGAGACAGCCAGACACCGCGCAATATCCACTTGCATGGGCTGAGGGGCTGGGCTATGCCGGCACACAGCAGCAAAGTAGGATTTTCATTGCTGATTAATCAAGTGCTACAATTCACAGAATAAGGCGGTGCCCAGCAGAAGGAAAAGTACAGAAATAGTATTTACAAAGCCCAAAGAAATCAGAGATGAAAAATTGCTAGGTTGCTTTCCAGAGATGGCTTGTCCTTTAAAGTACTTTGTCCAATTTGCTCATAAAAATGCTTTCAAGAAAGCTAGAGATTGACATTAGCTATATAAACCGTATGTCTACAGACAGGAGTTCAGAAGTCTGACTCCCATGGTTCATGGAGACTCCTTTTTGGTACAAGGTAAAGGGTCTGTGCCTTGGGAGAAAGTTCTGTTGTATATGCAAAATGCTTGACCTCAAAATTCAATTCTGAAATTACTGTCTTTGCAGCAGAAGATATAAAAATAAGCAAGAAAGAGATGATTCCTTCACTAACCAATCTGCAAAATATTTCAGTTGACTGAAATAAAAAGATAAGAAATGGAAGAGAGCATCCTCAAGCTCAAAAAAAAAAAAAAAAGGTTTCTAAACATGTGCTACATTACTGAGGGTTTGAAAACAGCTGCATTTCAGCATGTCAATCACACAAGCCTCAGACTAGTTGTGAGACCAGAATCTTTTGCACCATCTGTATCTCAGAGGTGATGGATACTAGAAATAATACATTTCCCCTATAAAGGCATCTTCCTTGTTAAATGAAAAATATTAGTGAATACAACACCTCTGATAATTGTTTAAGAATCATTCACATCCTCTCCCAGAAAATCTGCTTACCGCAGGGACTTTTGGATAACTGTGTCCAAACACAGGTTCCTCATACGATGGGTTATTCAGATGCTGTGGAGATCTGCAGAGACATCTCCCTGGAGGCCCTGGAAGTCCTCTTTCCCCTTTTGGTCCTATTGCAAATTGCCCTAGGAAGCAAAGTACCAGGTTGCCTTGTTATGTAGTTAGCACACAAAACAGAAATGCAACCTTAGTGGGAAAAATACAAGTCAGGTGGATAAATACATAAATTTTCAGAGATGCACATCTCTCACCAAATCCTCTGGGAACTGAGGGAGGGGATTACCAGAACCACCAATTTCAGCACTTCAGGAGAAAGACCAGTGTTTGTACCACAGTAATTTTTTTTGGTTCACTTTTAAAATTTTTCTACCAACTTTACAGAGGAAAAGAGAGGCCATTTGCTTAGGATTTCCAAATAAATGTCAGCCTGTTTGAAGCTACAGAAATTCAGGTCATGATGAACACACAAATCACTCTACAGTGTTTATGCACCAACTTCAGTAGAGTCAGACTTCGTAGATGTCCACAATGCATTGGACTTGTGCATTTGTGAAACCACTTGAGAAATGCTGTTTCAGGGCTTTCTGTATAAGAAAACAGAACCAGAAATACAGGTGTACTACAAATAAAAATTTAAAACCCACTGTTTGTTGACTTTCAAACTTTGGCAAGGATGCACTACTCTGCAGAATTAGACTATGAGCCAACATGTTCATACTGCAAACAGTGACATCATTACAGAAAGGTCATTTAGGATAAGAATTTATATTCTAGGGGAAAAAGATTAACAAGCTTGACGCATAAACTCTCTGTGGATGGAATAAAGCCTTTAAAAAGTAATCTCAGGCTCCTGGCTGCCTTCCCATTGGCAGGGTGAAAAATTCGCCCTCTGAAGACTTACAGATAATTTACTCAGGATAAAGGTGTTCATAGCGGGAGACATGAGATATGTGAAGATTTTGAAGCATCTCGTAGCTTCACAGATGTACCATTTCCAGACCACCACAAGGAAGAGACCTCCTGCCCACCGAAGTAAGCAAGCGAAGAAAAACAGAAAGCAAAGTGGAAGAGAACATTGAACAGATCATCTGCAGTAGAAGCAGCTGTTGCCCATTTGAAGAAACAGTAGTTTCCAAACGGTTTTGCTGTTCTTTACAGATACTTTAGTATATATCCAGGTTTAGAAAATCCTACCTGAGGGTTCACTGTCACTCTGCATTGCAAGTTGTATACTGCCCTTCATGTCTATGCTTGGTCTCACAAGAGAAAGCAAGCTGCCCAGAGTTCATGCACATGCTTAGCTTTGAAGCTGTACAGTTAGTATTTTCCTCATGATTTCTACAACATGCACAACTGCAGTGAGCATACATCTCCAGCACTTAATTAAAGAGAGAAGTTTTCTTCACTGCCCATTTTTCTCTCTGACTCCTATCCCTTTCCTTCTCTTCTCTCCTTAATGCCATTGTGACTTGAGTCTCATCTGGTTTTTCTTTTACAGAGCTGCACAGGGTATGTCCTGGCTGATTAGAAATTGCAATCTGTCACTGTAAGCCAGGATGTCTGGAGAAGCAGCAGACCTTTGATGATGGAGGTTAACTAGTCCTTCCAAGGGTGCCAGATGGCTTTTCATCATTCCCATCCACCAAAGTCCCACAGGAACCACATAAGCTATATTTTGGTTTTATTTTAAACATCAGAAGCCATGTTGTAGGCTTTAAAGTAAGGTATAGAATCCTTATAATGGACAAAGATGGTATGACCTGCCTCCGGAGAAATCCTCTCCTCCCTGTCAGTGGAGAAACAAATGGAGCCCTGCAGCACTTTTTTTTTGGGGGGGGGCATGCATTGGTGTATGCGATGAGTCAGGAGGGCTGGGGTGGAGGGACATGGTTTAGGGCACCACCTGATCTCGTGCTTACCTGATCCTGAAGGTCCAGGGGGCCCTGGCTGGCCAGAGGGACCAGGCCTTCCAGGTGGACCCATGATACCTGCAGGTCCAATGTCTCCCTTTAGTCCCTAGGAGAAAGGAGAGATCCATTTATTTGCTAAACTATTAATAACACACAACCTCCTCCAGCCAGCACTGGCTTCCCTTCCAAGAAAGTCAAGACATTTGCCAATAGGAGCATGCAGCATGCACTTCACAGCCACCACCCCAGGGAAGAGCTGCTGTCCTCTTCTGCATGGAGACAGAAAAGCACATTGAGGCAGGACTTCTGCTCCTAAATGTGAACAGTCCCAGCAGATCTGCTCTGTGCAGAGTCAGGAATCACCCTGCTCTGACTTCAGTCCTTTGGTGGCCTTTCTTTAAGGACGCATTTTTACCCCTGGTAGCTCTCTAGGAGTCAGTGCAGCTAGGAAAGTAAGGGCTGGTGGAGCTGAAACAGGTGACCCTGGAAATCTTTAGTCAGTGCACTAGTACACAATGGGGAAAAGAAAGCAAAAATCCAACAAGGAGTCAGCAAGGCCTTCCACAGTGACATTTCCTAGTCTTAGGGCGCAGTCTTTCAGAAGCACACTAAGGACACTGAGGCCCACACAGTTTCAGAAGTACTTCAGGTGCCTAGATCCCTGTATTTCCTTGACTTTCACATTGGGTATAGCTATGTTAACAAATCATCGCATGGTAAGCAAGGGCTTGGCTTTATGAAGTGCAAGCTAGTGCGTGGTAACACCATGCTGACAAAAGGTGTCCCTCTGGTACCCTACCACTCAACTAAAATGCTGTAAAATTACCTGTTGGAGATGAGTTTACACACAGTTACCATACAATAGCTAACATTCTGTATCAGCCCTAATTTGCCTCACAGGAGCTTGTTTGTGCAGCCACACCCTTAGACATTTGGAAGTTTCATCCTAGAACTGTTCAGCACCATCTTATTTCTGCTCCTGAATTTAATATCGTGAGACTTATTAAAAATAAATATCTTCCTGCTCATATACTGTCCAAGGCTTGGATTTCTCAGCTTTATATTTCAGAAGTGTGTTACGTAGCTTAAAGTTTAAATATCTGCTTTGATTTTTATGTAACCACATACAATATTTAGAATAACAAAAATGATGTGTGCTATGTAAGCTTTCCTTTAATGACAAAGGAGATTAATTCCTTAAGGATGGTGCAATTCCCGGTTAATGTACATTCACGGGTGCGTGATGTGTAATTTCAGAGTAATGAAGCATATATAGTAACATATGCTAAAACAATTTGCTGTTATATAATATGTTGTAACCCATGGATACGTTTGAATGTCACTTGCACCATTTCAACAGAAGAAGGCTGATTTTACCATGGCTTATAAAGAACTAATTGGATATTTGCTTTGTTTAATTCTATTAGGTAAGCTCTGTGCCATCAAAATATTCCAGGATTTATGTGAATGTCAGTGATGCTGAACCCTAATTACTTCTTACATTACACAACACAGAAGTAGCAGACCAGGATTTCGTAGCCCCCAAGAAGTCTGTGGGAAATCTCTTACCCACACACAATAAAAATCTGGCAGAGGCAAGCCAGCACCAGTCAGACACGTACTGGCTGAAGAGGAGCTGTCTGCTGTGTCTCCTGCTCTGGAGGAATGATTGCTTAATGCACTCTTGTTTAGCACAGATAGATTAAATAACAATGGCAGCAATTTACATTACATATTTTTGCCTTGTTTCTTTTCACATGCACCCATGTCATTCAGAAAACTTTTCCCATGGACAATACTTACATTTCTTTCTTTTCTTTCAAAGTAACATTATCTAAAGCCCTAAGACATTCCTCCTTATGAAGACTGAAATCCTAAACTTGCTCCTTAGGGTCAAATCCCAAGTTACAAAGCTTTGGGTGTTGTATCTCAGTTAGAGGGTAGCGAGGCTGTGACTTGTGACTCCCACCGCCTGGCAACCTTTTCGGGAGGGCCTGCCCCAGAGGCAGGGGAAAGCCAAAGAAGTCAGTGAGTTAATCAAGATGCATCTCAAAATGGAAGTGGAAGTGACACCTTCCTAATTTAGCTGCTTTTATCTAGGGATGTCAGCTGGATCAAGAGACAGGAAACAGCCCCATGTTGATGGAAACTATCCTCTCAGCTGAACAAACAGCCATGCAACTACAGCACTTAAAGGTGTCAGCCAGACCCACAGAGCCTTAAAATGACACTTAAGATTCTTCAAAGGATCAGAAAATAAGACAGGAAATAGCTAGTTCACAAATTACAGAGGGAAACCCGGTTTTCCTGCAGAAGGTCAATGCTGAAATTGCTTTTAAGGCACCAGAAAGGGGTTTGTGTACTGAGCCTTCGGCCTGGAATTCCTAATTCAGGGCCAGACTATGGTTCTTTTAGTCACACTAACTGTTGCCTTAAATTATGACACGCCTTATGCCACCACTTTTTGATTAAGACACCATGAAATGTGACAGATCATCTAAGGCCAAGTAAGGAGTGCACTGTGTCCGAGCTGATCTGCAGGCACCGCATCTTCTCTTCACCTTATGCTACGGAAAGATATCCTGTGCACGTTACTTTAGCAGGACAAACTAGCACATTAAAAAAAACCCAAACAACAAAACCCAGCAAAGAGCACACATCAACTTTTAAAACATGACAAATCAAGAAAAAATGACATGACAGTAACGAAAAAAATATTTCTTCTGGGTCATCAGCAGACTTAGATTGCACATACCTTCCTTATATGATGAGGTATTATTCCCCCCCACCAACACACAACTCTTAATTTTTCCCTGCATTGGGTTTTCTTTCACTTCAGATATTAGCTGACAGGCTCAGAGCAACAGTGAAGCAGGCACGTGCCTCTGTTTGCAATACTGGGCATAAACAGACTGCAAATAAAGTGCTTTCAGTGGAGTCCATTAGCCACTCCATCTACAAGCTCCTGCATCTGAGCAAATGTACATTAAAACCAATGTCGGTCTAGTGAGAACAGATGCCCTTCCCTGTCAGTGGAAAGAAACAGGCTCTGCAGGAGGCAATTCAGAGCACCAAATGGGCTGGTCTCCTTTGTCACCCCGATATCAGTGTCTAAAATAAATAAAGAAGGAAAGGTGCCCCCACAGAGGCCCATTTGGTGACTGGAACAGGCAACCACTCCAATGTTGCTGCTTGCTCCTTGGAAAATGCTATAGTGGAGGTGTCAGTGTCAAATTTACACACATTTTCTGGTCTTTACAATTCAAAGTCTGAAAAAGTAGTTCTGCCAGAATAATTCTTTTGAGCTCTAAATAAGGACCATTTGTCAACCATGCCATTCCTGAATGGCTTCCATACAAGATTACTATTCCTTAAGGTCACTATGTGTCTTCCTGACCTTTCTCAGAGCAGAAGAATCTGTTCCTGGCATGCAGCACTATGGTGAGAACCATCATATAAATATCCAGTCTAACAAATCAATCTTGGTTTAGTGTTAACAGAGGAAATGGGAGAAATGGAGAGGGTGTTTTTAGTGGCATCTTGTGGCTCTGCAAGATGATCTGTGTTGACCAACACTTGGGCCTGGGCAAAGCCTGACTCAACCAAATTAGATGGTGTGAACAGAGAGCATCCTCCAGATGGGCCCCACAGCAAGGGCAGAGCCTGAACAGACACTGGATACACACTTAATGCATGTGCTAGAAACCAGGAGCATATCACAGTGAGGTCTGGATGTATAGACCAGTGGTTTTCATTCCCACAGACCACATACCAGTTTAATCCATTACAGCATGCTAGTCTTAGTGTATAGGCAGCTACTGCCAGTGCACACAAGTGGTGTTTTTGCTAGTAGTAGTGTAGCTCTTTGCACTGGTGAGCCAGGGAAAAAATTCATGCACAGACAATGGGATGTTCCTTGCAAGATGCTGATGCTGCCTCTCTGCCCAGAGTTGATGAGAGAAGGGGTGGTTTTTGTAGCATCCACAGCAACCCTTCCCCTCATTTAGAGCCCCAGAAAGCCAGTGAAACCTTCCTTCACTCATCCCAAGAACCTGTTTTCACTATGGGCAGATGATGGCACCTGGACAGGCTGAAATGTGTTGAATTTTGGATACATCCCATTTGTAACTACAGCCTATCAAGCTGCCTGTAAATCGAGCAGCCTGCTCCTTAAGTCAGCCTCAGGGTCAGGGATCAACAAAGTGTAGGGACCCATGGTATTGCATCCCACACTGTCCGAGACTTGGACCTTGCTCCAGCTCTCTATCCATTCACCAGGTGGGGCTTGGTCTGTAGCTCTGTGTTGATCAGGATTCAAAGGGGGCATTCAAGGTCTGCTTAAGTTATATTCAATGAGTTCGTTGCCAAGCCAGGGAAAATACAACTTTCCCCATGCTGCTCTGCCAGGGAGCTCAATGCTGTAGAGAAGGCTCCAGCCCTAAAGCTGAAGCTTTAACTCCTGCATAGCCTGTGCATGTGTGTGAAGCATTTCAGGGCTTCTGTCCCCTCCCACTGTGACGAAGCGCATTGTACCATGAGAGCACAGACTGCACGGTAATACTCCACAACCACACAGGTGCCAGGAGTCACAGGAAGCAGAAACACCGTGGTCTTACTTGTTTGCCTCGTTTTCCAGGTCTTCCTATAGGTCCTCTGTGTCCTGGTACTCCAGATTGTCCCTTTGGGCCCATCTCTCCCTTGGTGGGTGTGGAGGGAAGGAAGCAGGGTATAAGTACAGAAATGCACATTACCTTGGTTATACTTCCCTCACACAAGACAGCAGGTGGATATCTAATTCAGATGATTCCTCTAGATAATGCTGGCATCATTTGTTTCTCAGAACATCAAAATTATAATAGAATTTTTTATAGCAAGCATAAAGTGAAAAATATCTCTTGCAGTTTACACAAATTTGCCTGAAAAATCCTTTCCTAAAGAGGAAGCCAAATGGAGAGATCAGAAACATGTTCAAAGACCTGGAGAGGTCAAGGCTAGCAAAACTCTCTGACCTCTTGGCAATACCTTGCTTTGCTCTTAAGATGCACATGTAATAAAATCACTGAGGGAAAGGGAGGTGAATTCACTCATCTTGTAGCCTCCTTAGAATAAAACATTATTTCCTTATCCTAATTTCAGAGATAAGATGTGATTATGTAATAAAATTATCCTCCTTTAGGATTTCTATCCATAGAACATTGTGAATGTTTTCAAGTACAGAATAACGATGATATCAAAACTGGTGAGGGTTATCACTGCTATTTATAGTAGTACCATTTTGATTCAGAGTATTGATTCAGAGTACCAAGAAGGAAATATTTATTATCTTCAAGTGAACAACACCCAAACAGTTAGGCCAGTTATGAATCTATAATCACGATTCTGAATATGTTAAACAGGAGAAAGATGATGACTAAACCCATGTTCTGGGGAAAAAAGGGAAACAACAACAACAAACAGCTAAATCTCAGAGATTTCTCCTAAGATGAAAGGCCTAAAGAATCTGACCAAGTCCAAAAAGTGTCGGCCATTGAGTCAAGCAAGACCTTCAATGCCTTATACTTTCCAGGATGTCCCCAAAGTCATTCGTCGACTCTATGTTAGCACTTAACACAAATCCCTAGTACATCACGCCCACTTACTTTTTGTCCCAGCATTCCAGGGAAGCCCATTTCTCCCTTCAAAGTAAAAGGAGAAAAATAATCAAAAAATGCAGAATGATCTTTGAAAAAGCAGCACCTTACTTGGAAGGAAGAAAAACAAGTGTCATGTACTGATACCGGTTAAAAAATCTGCACTGAGATTCAGCACTGCAGGAGAGGCAGTAGGTTGAGAACTATAAGCAAAATTTTACTTTAAAACCCCTTGTACAGTAACACTACTCCTCCATCTGATCCTCTGCTGCCTGCTTGCTCTCTGACAAAAACATCCCAGTTGTACATTTATCTATAAGCAACCTTGCTAACTGGACAACTCCCAAAACCTGTGTTTGGGACTGGCACTTCTCTGTTTACATCCAAAGCAGTTAATTTCCTTTTTTTAGTTAAAAGGACCCCCAAGCCATGAATCTAACTTCCATTTTTTCCCCCTCACAGCAATATAATATCACCAGCTGAAAGAATTTTGGCAAGCTGTTGTGGTTCTGGACTGCACAGGCCAGGAGAGACTGAGGTGATCTCCAGAGAAATCCCCCTCTGCCTTGTCACCCCTCTATGCGCTGGGGATGGGGGGGCATATGAGTACAGAGGCTGCTCCACCACCCTCCCATGACGTAGGACCACTGCCTTCACTTGCCACACTTGCCCTCCCAGGAAGATGCCTCCAGGTTCCCTTCATCCATATTGCTCCTGGTTTTTTTCTATATCAGAAATACATTAGTCCTCACGTGCAGGTTCAGCTAAAGCTCACAGCCATATGGAAAAGAAAATTACCTGGTCTCCTTTGACTCCTTTGTCACCCCTGTCACCTCTGGATCCCTGGAGAGAGATAACAGGGTGACAACAACAGCTTAATTACTACCACTTCACAAGGAAGCAGAAAATAACATCTCCGGAGTGAGGTATATGGTAGATACCCTAAAATGTTTCCTTATTACTTTCATTGACTTTATGAGAATTAAGAGTAAGAATTGTAGGAAAAGGGACTCATTCTTCTCAGATAATTACTTTAAATACATGCTTTCCTGCATGTAACACTTCCAAACTTGATTTTCTTCCCCAGCTCACTTCATCCAAGTTGAGGTCCCACTGTATGGTCTTACAGTAAAAACCATCTCTGTGCCAAAGTACATATAGCCTAACTAAACCAGACCAACAACTAAGTATTATTTTACTCATTCTACAGATGGAGAAACTGTATTGAGGTGCACTGTAGTAACTTGTTCATAAGAGGATGGGGTGTAAAACTCACTTCTTTAGCATCTCAGCCCAAGCCACAAGACTGTGGTCCTTCTCAAAGCTTGTTTTCATGTCTCAGTGCGACCTTTAGACTCCTCTCCATCAAAATTAAATCTCATTTCCACAGTTACTTTTTTTACATAACTGTTTCCAATTGTTAAATTATACATTATTCTGTTGTGACACTGACCTTTTCTCCTCTAGTTCCAGGAAAACCCTAAAGGGAAAGAATAGATATTTTAATGCTTTGCTCTTTCAAGATCAACCAAGAAGCAGGACTTTCAAACTTCAAAGTGAAGAAAAAGAATGAAGCACAAATAAGTAATTGCGTCAAGTTGTAAATGCAAATCAATATCTATAGCTTCTAAAACTGCACTGAAACAGAACTATGAAATATGAATCAAAGGCAAGACAACTCAGCCCAAAAGCCAACGTGAAAAAGCCAAGTAAAGCCAGCAGGTTTGGTATTGCTTTTAAAATTGAAACAAGGGAAATAAAATGTAACTGAAAGTGAATGAAGCTTCAGACAGTGCAATTAATAATCTAAAATAATTTTATCAATAATTTTCCTCTTCTGTTTTTTTTTTTCCTTGTGGAACATCCTTAAACTATACTTAAGTAATCTTCTGATGTGAAGCCTACTATAAAACTGAGTTTCTCTTTAAGAAACATACAATAAACAATAGTGCTCAGTTCTTCTTTACAGTCCTTTATTTGAATAAACTAATTACACTTTTTTTTCCAAGTACCTTAAAATATTGTGGCACAAAATTGTAAAGGTAGAGGCTATGATATAGACAGTGATGTACTGATTCTAGAACATCCAGACTCAATTGAGCTTACTATTCAACTACTAATACATGTGCATAGCTTTAGTAGAGGACCAAAATGATCTCCACAGTCTTACAAGGTGGGTAGAAAACATTGCAGACACAAGTTAATGCTGCAGATACACTTAAGAACTCCAGTTTTCTAGTGGCACACAATTATATATGTCTTGCTTCTAAAATAAATTTTTGCATTACAGTAATTTACATAAAATAATTTTTATGAAAAGCCAAAACCACAGCCAAGCCCAACCAGGCAACATAACCCTGCTTAAAGGAGAACATATCTTTTTAGCTGTATTAGAAAAGATATCTTCATATACACTTTCCAGCAAATTCATGAGGGAAGCAGCTGTCAGCAGAGTGTTAGAAACCAATGTCTGAAAATGCAATGTTTGGTTAACAAACCTTGGAGCCCATTGGTCCTCTTGTACCTGGCAATCCCATCACACCCAACTCTCCCTTTTCACCCTAAGGGGGTCAATAAAGAGAGTTATTGATTGTGGCTCTCTGATGAGGTTATACTTGAATGTCTGATAGTTTATCAGTTCAGGTTTTATGTCAAATAGTTGAGACAAGCCTGACCTTGGTGTAGCTTTGAAGTCAGAGGTCTACATTGCAATTGTATTCTGCCTGAGTCCTCATGTTATCTTATTCTTCTGTTTGCATTTCCTTGGGTGCGTAACATGTGCTTTAGTTTTGCCAGATGCTATTAAAGGACATGTAAGCAAGTTAGGAGCAGCAATGCATCCTTTTATTGCATGAAGGTATATTGTGTCTACCTACCATAGCTTCCAGTTGCAGACAAGAAAGGTATTTTGCTGCAAGCCCTTATGGTGTGGGGAGGCACAACAATAACTTCTATCATAGTTCTGAGACATCACGTGCTTTACAGTGGTTTGGAGCCAGTAAATAATGAAAAGGCTTTACAATAACTTCTCTAGCTGCTGTCAGCTAATTTTATCTAGGGTGAAATATGGAGTAATCCCTGCAGACGTGCAGCAGCCCTACCAGCAGAATACAGTTGGCTGTGATTCTCCTTTGGCTTTCACTGTCCTAGTAGTGGAGAGGATTTTTACATTGGCTGCTGCCCCAGTGGCAGTTCAGAAAAGACTTGAAGAAACAAAGTAGGAGAAATAAGGATTGGACCAAGGCTGTATCAAAGAAAGAGAAGACCAATAAAGAGATCTAGCTGAAGAAATAGAACGCACAGAGATAAGAGTGAGAAAAAAGCAGCTTACTGGAGATTTATAGCAAGAAGAGCATGCAGCAAATTACTATAGTGAAGATGAGTACCAGGAGTTTGGGAAGATCAGAGGTAAGAAGGAGACGAAGAAAAGAGAAACACAATTTATGGAAGTGAGCACAGAGATCTGCTGGCCTCTATTTAACTGGAGCCTTCACCGACAGACAGGAAAACAAAATTTATAAAGATTAGAAGAAATGAAAGTGTGAATCCATGTGGAGCACAGAGGATACAGGTATCAGAGGAGACAATAAAAGAAGAAGAACTGGAATCAAACAGCAAGTAGGACTCGTAAAGTGTAGGAAAAAGTATTACTACTGAATGTGAGGGATGCTTCTAGGAGTGTGATGAAAAAGCGTAACAATAGCCAAAGACAAGATAAAATCAAAATTAGGAAAACTTCATAAATAAAACTAGAGTTTATACAAGGAAAAGGCCAAGTGAATGAGTTTTTTGACTCCTCTGCTCTCAGTTCTAAGACTGTGAGGGAAGGAGGTAGCTGGACCTCACTTCTGTCCTCACTGTCTCACTGTGGGAAATCATAACACACAATGCATTTGGAGGGGACACCATTTCCCATCTCACAGTTCAAAGTGAACATCGGCTCCTTGTGAGTACATACTCTCTTGTTGCTTGCCTACATTCCCACATACGATGCCCTTCATCTAACATAGCTCTGAAGAGCTTGAGGGTCTCCTTCCCAGGTGTGGCTTGAATTAAGAACTCATCTACTATTATTCTTGCACTAGCAAGAGCTACTGCATCACATCCTCTGGGGGGGGGAGGGGCACCAACCTTCATGGAGAGTTGAAGTCATGAAAAGTCAAAGATTTAGTGGAAAAATGCAGCTTCAAACTAAATGCTGTGCACAGTCCTTCTGCCTGATGCATACTTGATTGAAGAAAAGCAAGTTATCTCAAAAGTCGCATTAGAAACTTTGTATACTGTGGTTCCTGTGAAGAGCTGTATACCTTTTGCATAAGGTAATACTCAGTAAAGGACTGTCCTGCAGGGTTTTTTATAATAATTGCAACCACTCTGCAGTAGTAAAGCATGTCCTGTCACTTTTTTTGCTGTTGGCTATGAAAAATCACAGGAAGGAGTGTTTGTTTTTCATGGGAATGAGCTTCAAAGATGTGATCAGCAATCCACATGGTTAGTAATCTCTTTCCCCTGATACCAGGCTGGTATTGTCCCTGTAATTGCATGGGCACACAGTTACGCTGCCAAGAAGTACATATTCAGGCAAAGAGATCATCATAAAGGACAGTTGTGAGGATGATGATCAGTTTTGAAACACTGATCTGTGTGTGATTGTGAGACACCAGTGGTTATCAATGGGTCTTCGTTAGATTGACTTTCAATTTTCCTTTCATGTATTTTAATCAATATAAGAAGTGCTATGGGAGCTAGGCTGAAGGTGGAGTAACCCAACCCTAGACAGGGCAGGTCTTTGCAGAGCAGCGTAAGAAATGGGAAAGCATAGAGTGTTTTTGCACTACTACAGTTTCCCAGCCTTCAGCAGACAGTGGTTTAGAGACTTCCTGAGACAACTGTTCTGTTCATATCGTGACATTGAAGAGGTTATCCCATGTGACTTTTAGTCTTACCTTCGGTCCCGCAGGTCCAGGCCACCCTTCCGGTCCTGGCATCCCAGGGACACCTGGGGGACCTGGTCTACCCTTGAACAGAAAACATCGATTACAATGATTCACGTAACATCATTCCTACACACAGGCTTCCAGTGCAGACAGGAGATATGGAGGAGTATAGTCTTTTCAGGAAAAGAGCTGCAAATGCTTCTTTACCTTAATTTTAATACTAAAAATACTATATTCTAATACAGTCTGTTTTGATGCTACTGGAAGAAGCACGGGCTCGCAGAAATACTAGGTTATACTGATTCAAATAAGTAGATCAGCTACAGAGTAAATCTACATGCAGCCAAAATAATAATCCTAAAATCCTAGTATCAGTAACTTAAATCCTCTTTTCCTTTAGTAATATGATGCAAATAAAAAAGACCTGCATGTAACTATATCAGTATGAATCCAATTTACATTAACAGAACCAAATCTTTAACTAAGATATTCCTATTTTTATTTGCTATTATTCTTATTCTGAACATTCTCATATCAGAAGCTATAATGCTCTTTATTAGCTACTATATGACTAGCAATAACTACGTACATACAGTTACTTATCTGTTTTAATTACTGCCTGCAAATCACTCTTTGATCTCCTAAAATGCTGCAGATTAGTGTTATGCCACTGCTTTATGCCACTAGACACTATAATCTTAGAAATGTCATTGTGACATTTGGGGCTAAGAGTGGCCTCCCACAAGCCAGAGAGCTTTTATCAGGAGTTACACTGTTTTATTTCCAAACGGAGCAACTTTTCTTTTGGGACCTACTAGTTTTTCAGAAGAGTAAAATACATCAGTGTCTAAGGTTTGCATTCGCTTGTAGGTTGGTCCGTGGCTCTCTGAGACATTACTGTTTTGAACACTTGACTTCATATAACTAACATTTGCGTTTACTGTAGGGTATTTGTAATTTAGATTAAAGGAAAAAACCCTTTTGTTTATGTGTTTTGTATTTATTTGAATTACTTATTGGTAGCTGGTGTTAAAATCCTCGGTATATTATTAGAAGGGTATTAAAATCCTTGGTATATTATTAGAAGGGTGCCTCTTTTCCTGGTTAGTGACTGCCCCCTGCATATCTCTGATTTCATCCTGCATTTCTGTCTTCTTTAAAGTTAATTACATTAAATGGAGGTACTTAGTGATTGAAATAATGTATTCCATTTCATCACATGTAGAGGAACATATTTTTGACAATATATCATGGCTCATATGTCACCAAGCATAGGATTGTAGTCAGCATATTGCATTGGGGCCAAAACTCTGTAAGCATAGTCATTAATGGTTATTTCTCCTTCAGGGGCATTTGGCTGAGCCTTGTTTAGACTTTGGAGGAGTAAAAAGTTGGATTTTTGCTTTGGACTTTTTTAAACACACTTTTTATGACAGCTCCCATAATATGCTTCCCCTACCCACGGAGACATAGTTCAGGTAACTTCCCACTCTGTTTTAATAGTCTGGGCAGAGCTGCATGCTCTTACTGAGGGAATTTGTCAAATTCAAACCAGCTGGGACAGGTCTCCAAGCTAAAGGGCCCAGCTCTCCAGCCCTGAGCTCCATACCACCCGTCCCAGGTACCCGGGGAAGCAGCACAAACAGGTTACACTTCAGCATTGGGTAATTTTTATTTAACTATTGTCTACACCCGTTTCTGAAAGCTGCTGTATGTCAAGTATTAGATGGGTTTCTGAGACAGCACCTTTGTTCATACCTTTCTTCCTGGCCTGCCAATCTCCCCCTGCCAGAGAAAGGAATACGTTAGTCTCATAGGCACCACAAAAAGCACAGTGGCATTTATAGTAAATAAAGAAATGAATATTGGGAATATCTTTGTGTTCAAGACTTTGCTTCCAGAGGTAAAATGAGAAGAATTACTTTAACTGAGCTCCTTGATCTTTCCTGTATTTTCATCCCTAAATCTTCAGTCACCTCCTTGTATAGCAAAGCATGTAATTACATGCCCAGCTTCAGGTATAAGGCTCTTTAAGCATCATCATGGAGGAAATGCTTTGCACCTGAGCTGCTTTCTTAACACATACTGTAGACAGAGGTAGCTGTCATGCGGAGTCTTAAAAAATAATTCAAGACTGAAAATGAACAGCAAAAGATGAAGCTTCAAATTATACTTCAAACCAACTCACAGTTTTACATTCAAATTAAAGCAAATCCCCACATTGGTAAGGCCCACCATTCACTAAACAGATAAGGAAAAAAGTTAACACGTTCCTCCCTTTCTTTGCCCCTCAAAAACATACCAAGCTCCGCAACAACAGACACTTACTTTCTCTCCTTTTGTTCCCATTACACCAGGAATTCCCCGTGGACCCTAGGGAGACAAGCGAATGCTATTTATTAAACTGCACTAGTAAGAAGGCACTGGTGGTTGTCTTCCCTCAACCCTTGACTCTGTAGGTGTCTCCTGGGAACAGCGTGAACCCACAAGGCCGGGGTGTTGGATGTAGTGTTTGCACATGGTGTCTAAATGCCAGGTCTGTGCCGCTGCCGAACAGCAGGCTGGAAAGCCAGACTGACATGAAAAGTGCAAGGGCATCTTCTAAATGAAGAGCACTAGCAAGAAAAGAGACCTGGGGTAAAGGAAAGATGAGAAGTTATTGGAGTCCTGAAGACTTAGCAACCACAAGGACATGGAGACACCCATGTCAGCAGGCAAAGGAGGTTAGATGAAGAGCTGGTAAGAGAAGTGGTAATAAACAGTGAGCTATGGACATGGAGGATTGTCACCACTTCTGAATCATGAAGATATTTCTCTCTCAAATAAGGCTGATTCCTCTTTCAGAAGACTTATTGATCCAGGGACACCTTGAACCCCATCTCAGAAAAGGGATCAGAAAAACAGTTTTGTTTCTAGAAGGAAACAAAGCGGGGGGTCTGTTCACAGACTCCCTTTATTTTTTGCATAATTAAGGAATATCCCATGAGCCTGTATCAGAGGGGCATTAGATTCATCACACATATCACTCCTTCCAGGTTTTGATCCTGGCTGTCTTGCACTGTCCAAAACATGATGCAAATTGTACACAAATAAGAGCAAAGTGTACCCTCAAATGCAAATCACTGTTTCAGCCAGCAGAGTTATTTTAGGCTTTCAATAGCGTAAATCAGAATGCACCCTATCAGAGTCAAAGCCAAATTTTACCTTCTTCCTTTCATTTTACCTTAGGTTACATGTAGGAGGAATTACATTCTGAGTTATATAATTACAAGTCTAATTCTCTTTCTTATGGAGAAGTGTTAAAATTCAGCTCTGAATCAGCACTATGAGCTTTCACAACTCCTTTAAAAGTCAAGCAAGCTACAGCAGAAAAGAATTCAGAAACAATTCTTAGACATATTTTTTTTATAATAGCAGCATTACTTTTCAGGCAACCATTGTCATAAAAACATTGCCCAGAGGATTGCTGGCTCTAACATTGTCCTATTATAAGACACAGTCTTGCAATTCATAATTAAAAATTCCAAAGCCATGTCATACCCACCCTACTGTTTGCCATTGTAACAAAATCTGCCAGCCTACTGTATTTAAAAATATTCTTGGAGGAATCCTGGGTCATTTGGCTGCAAGATTAATATTATTTATAGCAATGGACCTTGTAGAATAATACAATTAATACTACTGTTCCTCCAATTTAAGTCAGAGAAAGTATTAAGAGGATTTTTTTTAAAAAGACAGTTTAGTAAAGGCTGAAATAACAACTGCTTCTTTCACGTGTACTGCAACTCTGGATAGTGGCCAACCACACTGCAGGGCTGTTTTGTAACGCAGAGAAGACTTTTCTCAATAAAGGACAGGACAAATGCTTCCCATCGCTTCTCTCCACACACCATCATTCACATGCTAAATGAGACTGCCTCATCCTGCATCTCAGCAAAAACAAAATGGCAGAATACAATAAAGTCACGATTCATAAAACAAGACTTCGTGGCTTTCACATTGCATCTTCTAGACTTACAAATAGCTTCTGAAGTATTGACTTCTAAATAATTAAGGCTAAGCTTTTTCCCACATAGCTGAACCCCTACTGTGATGTACTGTCCTTGCTTTTTAAACAGTGTTTGGGTGCTTGTTAACTTCTCAGGTCACCCAAGACTCAGTCATAGCTTTGCTGCAGTGAAGGTCCCATGCTGTGTCTGCTATTAGCTGTATTGTAACAAAACTGACACCTAGGGGCCTCGATGAAGATCGCTCTCCCAGAGCACCAGTCATGGTACATAGATCAGGACCACCTGTGCCCCAGGACAAACTGGAAGTACCTCCCCCTGAAAAGTTTTATTTTTCTTTGGAGGGAACAAACTGAAATGGAAAGGCAGATGGGTGATCTTCTCCACACTACAGAGGTGTTCACAAAAACCTTCCTCCTAGAGGGAGACCATTTCCTCAGAAGATTTCTGACCGCCATCAGAAGATTTCTGAATGTACAAATTGTAGAAAATTAAATGGAAGGTCAGAAGGACTGGTCCAAGGCTACCCAGCAAGTCAGAGGCAGAGATGTTGCAGGTCAGTCTAGGAGATCCCACATCTCCTGAATCCCATCCCACTGCCCTCCTGCAGCCCCTCCTTTTCTCTGATGATTCCTGTGTTTCCGTTCTCAGAATGTACTCTAACATTCAAGTTCATTGCACTTCTTGTGCATCAACTTCATGGGCTCTTTCCCTCACATAAGGGACAACAGAGTCTAAAGCGAAGAAAAAACTAACAGCCTCTGAAGGAAGTGATTGCACCTCCTGGATTTCTGATGGGTGCTCCCCACTGTAAAACTCCACGAAAATGTAGGGTGAACTTGAAACCGACTGGTGTATGCAAGGCAGGGATGAGAACACAGGGTAAAAAGCCTACATGAGTTATGCATAGTCACATCAAAATGAAATTAAGCCAGAGTTTGAGATGCTTATTAAGAGGTAAAAAGCATCTGCAGAAGATGATTTACAGCTTTGTAAGGATCTTGGAGCAAGTGAGAGAATGATGTGGTTTAAACACAAATACATCACTCACCTGGGGGCCGGGAGGCCCTGCGGGGCAATGTGACCGGGGCAGAGAGGAAGCCTGTATTATCTGGAGCTCTTGACACAAGTCTTTCATATCCAGGGCAAGGGGTTTCTACATAACATAAAACACGAGTGAACACGCAGCCATACGTATGCAGTCAGAGGAATACATAAACAGTCACCAAACACTACAGCCTCGAGAGTTTATTCACTCCCTCAGGAAGAAGCCTACGGCTTGTCACAAGGTTATCTTCACAGATGCTTGAACATTAGCACTTCAGCACAGCGTCCTGCCCACGCTTCCTCCTCCTCCTCCTCTCCCAGAGGCACATCACAGCCAGGCTGTCACACACCCTGGGGTGGGACCCTGCTCTATTCTTAAACCTGACCCTGCTCTCTCCATCCCGCTTTACACGTAGCAGCTTCTCTCCAAGAACAGCGTCTTTGCTCTAATAATAAAGACTATGCTCAGCAGGGGTATAGGCAGTGTGAACTTCGCTCCAGAAGACACTAACCCATAGGCATTCATTCACTGCTGGCCAGAGCCGATGCCTTTAATGATCAATGAATGTCTAATCACTTCAAAATCAGGCTTGCATGAGCAAGCTGGCTTATTTATGTCCTGTGACAAAAGTGACCTCCCCTGGAAATGCAGACAAACACTGAGCCAGGAACACTGGGTTAACACAACTGATTTTCAGCTTCCAAGTGAAAAGCCCTCTTCCAGAAAAGCTCCAACGAGAGACTCCAAAGCACAAGCTGCTCAGAGTGAATTCATGTGGCTCCCACTCTCCTAGTAACTTCTTAAGTTTTATTTTGTGTTTGGTTTTTTGTTGTTGTTTGTGTGGGTTTTTTTGGTTTTGGGGTTTTTTTTTTTTTATGTGGGACATGATGCGAAGTGTGATTTTATGCTCAGATTGCTCTCTAGGCTGCTTGGGAGAATCTCAGGGACCCTGGTCCCAACCTCAACCTCACTGAAGGGGTACACCACATTCCTAAGGAGATCTTGTATCTGGGTCTCCTTTCTGTGGAAATCAAGGCACAGGGAGGGGAGGGGATGAGGAAGGAGGAGGCAACTAGGTCTTGGTTTTGGGGGAATAGCACCCTGAGCTCAATGCTGATCTCTCTGAAGACAATGGAGGATTTTACACTATTTTTTCTTGGGTTAGTTCTTGTCAGACATCTTACTAATCATTATTTACATAACACTAGCAACAGTTGCAGTATTTGTATATGGTAACTGAATACTAGAATTAAGAAACAGGAATTACTGAGTAAGTAAAAAAATTCTTAATGTTGGGATGGAAAATATGTTGGAGATAACAGACCCTGGCAATGACAGTAATTGGGCAAACTGCTATACAATATACCCATCATATCCCATACATTGCATAGGTTAACATATGTGTGTGGATACATATCATATAGAGCAGGTATATGCATAGGTGGGTGAGTGAAAACTCCATAATAGCAACTCAGACGTGTCTTTCTTTCTGCAAAAAGGAATGGTTGTAATAGTTTCCATAGGAGGATTTCAGGACTTTCATTCCACCTACTGGGTAAGGAAAATGTGATGGAGAACAGGACACATACACAACGTACACGCTGAAATAATTTTGCAGGATGGAAAGTTGCCTTTCTGTCCTTACCTGGTTTACTGCATTGCCATTTTCTTTAGTTCAGGACTGCTTTACTCTAAGAAAGTTCCCAAAGCAGAGTAACAAGAATATCTTAAGTTAATTGAATCAACTGCCTGAACAAACCCAGCCTCGTTTCATTCCTTGATCTAATTGAGATCTACTTCAAGCCTCAGTCTGGGATGTCGAATGATTGTCCTAACAGAGCTATATCAACACAGCCAGACAGGGTTGCTGAATGACACCATGAAGCAGTGCTTGAGAGGATGCTTCAGTCTTCGTCACATATAACAAGTCACGTATAAAGAAGAGAAAGGCTCCCGGGTCACACTTACAGTGCTCCAGCTATTCCTGAAGAACGGTGGTGGCAAGAGGGGTGGTGGAGGAGGGCCAAGGAGGCAGCATGCTCTGCGCTTGGGTTGTTTCTTCTGTTCCAAACAAGGGAGATCTGTTCAATACAAACACTCATCTGTTGTCTTGAACACCACAAACATTTCCTACAGAATAAGAGGAGTTTCTATTCCACAGGGGTTTTTCTACATCTAAATACTCTGCAACGCAGATTTAGCTGATAGCTTTGTCACCGACTGACTGGTAAGGCAGGATCTCAGCTGTGTTTGTCAGTGTGTTTACCTTTTTCTAAAAGGTAAACTTTCATCAGCAATATAAGAAGCTGTGACCAAAGATTGACAGAGAAAGGATGGGAAGGTGATGCATTTATACTGTTGTTTGGTTGGTTGGTTTTTTTCTGTATCTATTTACCCCTTGGGAAACACATCTCTAATTAGGGTGGGGGCCTTCTGCAAAGGTTTGGTCAAGGACAGCAAATATTTATTTATGTCTGTTAGTTTCTTCCTCCGGACAATGGCAGCTGCAATGGGTGTCTGTGAGCTGAAGGGTGGCAGGGATCCAAATAAAGTAGGAAGAAAAGCCTATGGTGAAGTATCTGGTATTAATAGAAAATCTCCAAATTAAGTTTGTAGGAAGACAAATCTGGCAAAATTAATAGAGTTGTGTGTAAATCAATTGCAGGCTGGATATTAGTCACATCTCAAGGTAAGGCAGATTTTCTAAGGGACAGAAATACTTCTAGTTTTCAGAAGCCTCAGAAAATGTATTATATCAGTTCCACCATCCCATGTTAACAAGGACAGCATTTCCCTCAGTCCTGATGTACAGAAAAGAGTTGTCCAGAGGGGTGTGACTCAGCAGCATTCACGGGTACTATATGTTTTCCAGATCTTTTTTCTCTATCAAGACACTATTTGAGATGATACCTTTGAGACATTAGTCAATTATAGTCTGAAAGGGTACGTAATGTAGGCTCTTTCTCAACTTTTCCTCACAAGTTTGAAACTCAACTAAAACATTCAATTTAAGAGAAAGGCAGAAGATTTATAGTAAAAAACATATTGTTTCATTTAAAAGTTTAAATTCATACTGAAAATGCTAACACATTTTAAAAAGTAGCAAAGGTTTGAGTTTGCCTGTCTCCAGCTCGCACAAGCAATAAAACGCAAAGATACGCAGAATTAAGTTCTGTACTGGCTTACCCGGAATTCTGCACAAGCAATAAAATGCAAAGATACGGAGAGTTAAGTTCTGTACTGGCTTACCCGGAATTCAGTCACTCTTATGCAGCTGTAACTAAAGTCTTCAATTTTTACCACACATACTTCTGTGGTTATCTTAATTTCAGGATTATATTTTTCTTATGCAGCTGTAACTAAAATCTTCAATTTTTACCACACATACTTTTGTGGTTATCTTAATTTCAGGATTATATTTGATCATATTGCATTGGGATTAAATTGTGTATTATTATTGCATGGACAGCTTGTAATTTAACAGGATACAAAACGTGATATATTTTTTTAGGCCACATTCCAATATCATCACTCTTTTTTAGTACTACCTTAGTCCATGATCTAGCTAAAATTCAATAGGATTATTATATTTCCACATGAATAAGAACAAAGCTGGCCCAATATGGCCTAGTTGCTAAGAGATCACTATCAGGCACTGTAGAAAAAGGTTTGCATTACTGCAGCTGTATTGCTACTTTAAAAAAAAAAAAAAGAAGATATTAAAGTGTTGTTCTTTAAATAGTCAGCAAAGATAAGATTAAATATGGGGGTGTATCTATAACTTTAATAGGATACTTATCATGTCCTCATGAGTGAAGTCAAGTCCTGGATTATAAAATATTGGGATTTTCCTCTTTTAGCAACAAAGTCTGAAATTCCGTGGAACAGCTTTTCTTGTGAAAACCACTACAGCTAACCAAGCAGACAACAAAATAGCCATTGATTTTAATCTTTATAGTCTTATTCTAACACTACAGTTAGGTTGAAACCCAATTTAGGTTTGCTGGTATAAATGGTGATATTATGTATTGATTTCATGTGTGAAACCAAGAAAAAATGTATCTAATTACTATTACTACTATATAGGATAGATATGAATTATATACTGATGGGGTAGTTAGCATTTCAGGGATGATTAACCATGGCCATGTTCTGGAGGGTGTATTTGTAAAGTAAATATTTAAGAAAAGGCTGGTCCTGGACCAAGGACCTCCCATGCTCAGGTGCGGCAGGTGGATGCGACAGGTGCAAAAAAATGAGTCACAGGGTGACTACAGGTATGAATGTTATAATTTGCTCTTCCAATAAGCACTGCATTTCATTGGTATGGATTTTGTAACTGCGATAGATCCAAGATGTACAATCATTACAGCATTGGCTTGTTTTGTACATCACAAACCCTTTGTGATATACAAACAGGCTTACAGGCTCTCTGCAAATGCTATGTATATTTTTAGGCTCCAAGTTAGCTTTGTTTCCTGAGCACAGCTTCAGAATACTCCAGTCTTCATCAGTGGAAAAAATCTCAGCCCAAGAATAGGACTGTCATAGTTTTCTGTGAAATGTGAAGACCCTGCCTACACAGAGCACACATGTATCTATCTTCTATGGAAACTGCTTTTTCAACAGCTTCAATATCAAATAACATATTCAATAAGAGAAAGAAGACAAAATGAAAAGCTCCTTATAGGACTTGTCTAAGTGGCAATTGCTTTCAGAGAACATAAAATTATAACAGTCGGCTTCAAAATTAAAAAATCTATATAATTTTCAATTTATTTTTATGGTCCAGACTATATGTTAATCTAATTCAAGAAAGTGACTGTATAAATCTATGGGTATAACGGCAACGGTTGCTTCAGAAAACAACATATTTTAGATAAGCTGCTGCAATGTTTCATTTTGATCCTGCAGACTGCTTACTTATGAGTATAGCTGGAAGTTGGGAACTCTTATCCAAGAGGGTCCAACGCAGAGGCACAGACAAGGCTTCACCCAGGCTGGTCCCCCAGACTGGGGCTCATATGAGGTCTCTCAGCCCTAGAGTTGATCCCAGAGCTGACCTTCAACCCTACAAACTCCCTGGACTGCAATGGAAGTAACAGAGAAGTGCTATCCTGGGTTCAGGTTAGACTTACAGGATTGCATTGGAAAAAACCCATAAGTAAACCCTGAAAGTGACTTACATCCTAAAATCTCAAAGCTATATGTCAACTGTCAGGAGGAAAGGATAAGAGAGGAAAAAGATATTTAACATGTGTTTCCCTTCCTAGTTGCAATCACAATCATCCAGCAAGCCCTGACGGAAAGTTGAGCTGCTCTCCAAAGACTTGTCACCCCGATGACAGCAGCTCTGGTGGCTTCCCCAGCTTGTGTTGGGCAGAGCTCTGCCAGACAGAGACCTCTGATGGCTGACACCCCATCACAGGTGCTTCTCACACTTGGATGGTGCTCAAAATTAATAATAAATGAGCTGGGCAGACTAGTCGGTTAATGAATGTGGGCTTGTCCAGCTGAAACGGAGACTTTCAGCTGCTTTGTTGTCATTCATTCAGGCTTCTCTTACCCTCCTTGCAAGGTGAGCAGCACACCATGGGCCACAGCCACCTGGTACCGTTCAGTTTGTCTATACGAGGTGACTAAGGCACTTTTTTCTTTTAAGTTAGAAAAGTTTAAAAGCTTGTGAAAGGTGCCTTTTGAGAGCCAGATAGGTCAAAATCCTTTATTTACAGAGCAAACGCAGGCCATTAAGCCCTCTTTTAAAACCCTAAAGACATGCATCAGCACAAAAAAATACATCTTTAAAATATGTTTTATGAACCTTTGTGACTCAAAATGTGCCTTAAGGACATATAAGCAGAGTTGGGAATACAGCTCATGTCTGGAGCTGGGTTGGACAGTCAGGTTGGCGAACAGTCTGCATCTCTCTGTACCGTTCTGATCTTTGGCATTATGGTCAATGGCCTAAATAGATCTTTTCCTATAAACCAGCTAATAAAAATATGCCAAGAAAATAGAGCAAGCCCTAAAACTTAGGCAATGGTTCCTGCGTGGAGGAGGCAGTGACCCACAAAGCTCCCGTGGGAGTTATGGGATGAGACATGGGACTGCAGCTCTTGCCCGCTTCTGGTTTCCTCCTGTTTGAAATGGGGCTTCAGAGTCTTTAAGGAACAGAGCAAAGCTGATCAGAAATTAATTCCCCGTTCTTCTGACAGAAAATGAAAAACTCTAGCTGAAACCTTGCAAGTTTCTTTTCAGCCAAGAAAAACTCACAAAAATTTGGAAATACTCTGTTTCTAATCCCCAAAGTGGTTACAGGCTGTGGCAGCAATTATATGTACTTCAGTAGCTGGCGCTCACTCAGAGCTGTCATAATAAATAAATAAATAAATAAATAAAGGTATTTGAAAATCAGTCAGCATTCAAACAGCTTGACAATAGCAGAACCCTGGCACACTGCCTGGATGGCAGATGTTGGTGTTCTCCCAGCCAGAGGGACAAGGACACTATGTCCTCCATCCCCACCTAAGATTCAGCCCATGTCCCCCAGCATCTCTGGGCACCTCCTGTGCGCTCACAGGTAGTGAGATCCCAGTGAGCCCCTTGCAGCCCAGACAGTGACTGGGTTGGCTTTGCACTCCAGTTTCACAAGAACATGAAAATTCCAATAAAATTTGAAGGATGAAACACTTCAGTGCATTATAAAATGGGTTTAGAAAATAAACCCATGGCTTGTAAGTCCCACTAACCATAAGAGGGCTATTTTGTGCAATTTTCCTTCTATTGCCTTCTACTTGCAGAGGTCCAGAGCTCTGGACACTGCTAAACGAGGCTGACAAGTCTATGTGCTTTCCTTCAGTGCATGAGAAACTGAGGCACAGAGAAGTTAAGCAACTCTCCCTAAGTCATGGATGACTCAATTACAACACCAGGAACAGAGTTACAGTCTGGTAAATCACAGTATCTAATCTCAGTCATTTTATACACCAGATTACAAAACTCAGCTACTTGTCAGACCAGAAAAATACTAGAAATACGCTGAGTATTAAAGCTTAAGAACCTACTACAACCTGTAGAAGAG